TTGTAACACCTCCATGCAACCAATCACCAGATGAATTTTGAATGCTTCCATTTTACCGTAGTTACCGCTGAACTTATTATTTTTTTTTTTTAAATAAAAAAAAAACGGCAAAGAAATGTACTGGCATGAAACCAGGGACACGTGTGGTACCCCCGGGGACGTAAACAACCACTCGGACGGGCTCCGAAAAGGTAGCGCACATACATCGAACAGGCGATGGGCTGGGGTTCTAAAAAGCAAGAACTGAACACACTAACCACAATAAGGCATGTCGGGCAATCGCTGGTGCCATGGCTAAGTAGCGCCTCCGGCATCAGTACCAGCGAAACCGAGTTCACCGGTTTGTTGAGGCTCTTGGCCAGCAGTTCCGTGAATTGCTTGCCGAAAGTTGCCGGCAAACGGCTTCGCGCAACGTTCGTGAAAAACGTCACGTGTGGCATCACGTCGAACAGCGGACAACCATTCGGGAACTGGCCTGCAACCGTGCCTGTTTATCATCCAGCAAACGTAAGTGTTGTTTTTCAGCACTCTTCTTCTTATTTCGCTATTTTTGTACTGACGGGGGCGGGTGTCCGAAGGGGGGAGGGTGTGGGAGGGTTTTTGAGGCACCAGGGCGCGAAAAAGGGGGACACCAGGGATGCTGCGGGTAGCCCGGCTTGGACACTCTAGTAGGTGCCAGGTCATGATTTCCCACTACTTCAGTGCCGGGAAAATTGTTGCTACCACGGCCTATCATGGGTGGACCCGAAATTTTTTACCTTCTCTTCCCCCTCCCCCTCCTCTTTCCCACTCCCCTCCCCTTCCTCGGCGGCACAGGCACCACTGCTGCAAAAGTTCGGGTCTAAAGCTAAAACTAAAGTGAACTAAAGCATAAAGTAACTCTAAACAAAGTTCCTAGTTTTTGCATAGTTCCTGGATGGGAGGGGACTCTCCTTCCCGTCTCCCATTGCCCCCCTTCCCACAGGAGCCTCACTTCCCCTTCCCCGCCTCTCCAGTCCCCCCCTTCCCTTCCGCCCCTTCTCCCAGGAGGCCGTCCTGGATCCGCCTATGCCGCCTAGTTGCGTTCTACTGCCAGGATTCTTGAGAGGCAAATAAATTTGGCAGCGGGAAGAAAGAAGTAAGAGAACTAGTTACATTCCTAGGTTGTCTATTGTTTACGAAATTCCGGTTTTTTTGCTGTCAAGGCTTGCGGTATCACAACTTCAGCGCATGGGAAGCTTGCAAGTCCATAACGTGAGCGCAAAAAAGCCCGTAGGCACGGCTACGTGAGGCCAGGAGAGGCTTGCAGGTAGCATGAAAGGCAGCTCACGTAACGTGGGCTGAGCGTGGTGCCACGATTTGAGCGCAGAAGAAGCAAGCAGCAGGGCCTGGACGTGGAAAAGGTTTCCAGGCTTTGCGGCAGGAACGCAAAGAAGGCTTATAGGTGACGTGAAGCATAAATATGGCTGAGATTTGTTATACTGCGACGTGAAAATCTGTAATAGTTGAAATACTGTGACCTTTGCGGGTACCATGACGTAAAGTGCAGAAGGTTTGTAGGTACCACGACGTAGATTTCCAGGGTTTTGGAGTTGTCAAAAACGAGAATGTGTAAGAAATTTATCATAATTTACTTGTTGTTCTGTTGTAATTTTTGCACTGAAATCCCAGGGAGCGAAAATTAAAACGGCATTATTTAGGACAAATATTTTAAATGATTTGAAAATCGCAATAGATTTGCTTCGATACATCACGATTTCCGGGTGGTTAACTTCCGCCAACCGATATGAGGTGCTTAACAATGTGTGAATCAAAAAAAATCGGGTTACAGAGCTGAAGATCGAAGGGCAAAGTTGTTGTCAAGCGTATAGGAGCATCCCAGTAATATCACCGATATTTCACATTTTTTTCAATCGCCAAGCATGACACATATATACCAGCATACACACACACACAAACACACACACACATACACCCACACGCACACACACATGTCATGTGCTTGGCACATAAGAAGCGAAATACAAAAGACACTAAAGCACAGCGAAGACTCACAGCGTTTAAGATCAGCAGAACTGAAAATAATTGGCACTTTATAACTTATAATGTCTGCGAAGAAGAGGCCACAAAGCAAAACTATTAATATGTGCTGCCCGCACCTATAGTCCGGGCGGTCTTGCTCTTCTTGGTGTGAGCTTAAAATTTTTGCTAGTTTTTGCTAGCGTAAAAATTTTGCTAAGTCCGTGTTTACAGCTAAGGGATGAAACACAGACTGCATCGTAAAATGTCTTTATGTACACATAACACCTAAGTCCAGTCCTCCTACTTTTCATGTATT